CTCTCCAAACAACACATTCTAATTTTGACATCTTCCCCCACTCTCATTCATTCAATAGTATTGGGCATTGCAGTAAACAGTGAAAAATACATGGTCCAAAGATGTGTAGAGCCTGCTCCTTGTTTTTGAAAGGAGCAAAGGAACAGATACGTGGACAAATATTTTTTTTAAAAGGTTGTTTTTTTTTTTTTTTTAATTTATTTGACAGAGATCACAAGTAGGCAGAGAAGCAGGCAGAGAGAGAGGAGGAAGTAGGCTCCCTGCTGAGCAGAGAGCTGGACTCGGGGGTCGATCCCAGGACCCTGGGATCACGACCTGAGCTGAAGGCAGAGGTTTTAACCCACTGAGCCACCCAGGTGCCCCACGTGGACAAATATTTAATGGCAATGTAATAAGAATTCATAGATAAGTTCTCTTATAGTTCAAAATTGTTTTAAGGAAGCAAAACTACTAGTCACAGTCCTTAGTTAAACATTGGAAACTTGTGTAGCCCGTTTAAGTGAAATGAAATGTATCCTATGTAGGGTAGCTCACAGAATCTTTAATTAGAGGGCTGGTGATCCAGGGTCAGAGGCCAGGAAGCTAGAGCCATGATGGCCAGAATCATGACTCGGAAATGGGCCAGTAAGCTCACCATTAATGCTATTGGGTTCCAGCCACCATCGCTAGAAACTGACATGGTAGGAATTGGTACTACTGCCAGGCTGCCCCTTGATGTTGTTGCCACAGCTGCCATCACCTGCTACTAGAATGGATTCTCTACCCCTATTTCTTTGCATCACTGGTTTCTGAGTAGTCAGGGGCAGGTATATCTGATGGGTCAAGTCTATGTCCTGTGCTTTCTCCCTAGCAGCAGGGGAGCCTGAGAAGCATGCACCTGGCATTTTTCAGGTTTACGTGGAGATATATCTGGGCTTTGTTCTGAGATTTATTAAGGTTGGGATTCTCCAAACTTAAGGAATCTAGATGTTGAACAGCCATAAAGAACAAATGTCTGCTGCTACAACTTACAGATAAAGAACTTAAAATGGAGGGCAGGTGGCTCAGTCGGTTAAGTGCCTGGGTCTTGACTGAGGTCATGACCTCAATGTGCTGGGATCAAGCCCTGCATTAGGCTCCCTGCTCAGTGGGGTGTCTGCTTCTCCTTTTCCCTCCACCCCACCCCCTTCTGATGTATGCATTCTCTCACAAGTCAATAAAATATTTTTTTAAAAACTTAAAAGAGGAACTTTCCATAAAAATTTAAAGTCTAGATAGAATCCAGTCCTAGCATCCAACATTTTACCTTTTGACTTGCCCCAACAGATTAAATAGCCCTTAAAACATACTACACAGAATACAGAAATGACTGGATATAGCCACTTACCTTTGAAACACTGACTCTGATCTTCATTTACGAACCAACATGCTGAAATATTGTACCAAAGGCAATGGCAATAAGAGTATTTCTCAGAGTCAGGCACAATGGAAACCATCTTCCATATCCACCTTGAATAGCTCTTCATCTACATCAAAAAGGTCAGATTCATGAAAAGTGAAAAATCTGTTGAAGACCTGAACATCCTGCCTACTAATTTTTCTAAAAAGTTGGAAATCTTGGCCTTTTCTACTATTTAGTGTCAAAAATCACACAGTAACACTGGCTTTGCCTTCTTGCAGCAGAAGTTGCTACATGATATATCAGGTACAGTAGTACTGTGAAACTCAACACTGAGAATATAAAACTGATTGACGTTAAATGTAAAATGACCAGGTGAACATGGACTGCAGACCTGCTATGTGACCACAGACTTAAAATGAGACAAGTTGTTATGGGAACATATAATACATAAAAATACTAAAGAAGTCTTCACAAAGATAGGTTAAGGCAAGCCTTGTAAACTGAGCAGGTTGACAGGTGTCTAATTAAAGATGGACACAAACTCTTTACCACTCCTCCCACTGAGAGATGAAGTCCAATTCACTCCCTCAAAACTCTGGGCTGGCCTTAGTGATCTGCTTGACCAACAGCCTGTGGCAGAGGCGATGTTCTAGAACTTCCAAGGTTAGATCATAAGGCTTGCAGCATCTGTCTGGGAATCTTGGGACAATTTCTGAAAGCCCTGAGATTCCGTGTGCCTCAACTCTTTGACTGCTGTGTTGGAAAATCTACACGTGGGCACTCAGGTTCACAGTCCCAGCTAAGGCCAGCCTTCCAGTCAGTCATCCTTGTCTAACTGCCAGACATATGAATGACAGTTTCAGAATCTCTAGACCAGCCCATCTACAATTTGAATACCAACAAATGATCTTTGTCAACAGCAACAGAAGAGTTATCCTCGCAAGCTGAGTCTTGCCCCAATTCCTGACCCACAAAACTGTGGTAAAAAAAAAAAAAAAAAGTTGCTATTTTAAGGCACTAAGTTTTCAGGAAGGTTGTAATGCAACAACACATAATCGGACCATCACGTAAACAAATGGGGAAGAACATTCTACACAAAACCAACATCCTCTCTAATGCTCCAAACTGAACTCTATTATTTCTCATATGTTCTTTGCCCAATTCTGCTTTACTGTACCTTCCACATGTTCCAACCTCCTCCACAATCCCAAATTCCACACCATATACAACTCTTTTTCTCATGCCCTTCAGTTTTCCCAGTGAAACGGCACTTTCTGTCTTTTAACTTGCATGTTTCCACCTCTTCCAACAATGCTTTTTGGCACTGTCCCATTTTCCTGCAGTAGTGTAAATTAGTGCCCATTGTTCCAATTAATTAATAGTGCCCCCTTTCACTCCCAACTGTCCCATTCTAGGCAATAAATCATATGGTCACCTTGTGATGAACACAATGCTTTGAATGAGTTATTTGTGTAGAATTTTATCTCTTATTCTAGAGTACATGATTACTTGAAACCAAGTATAGCTGATCCTCAACAATGTGGGGGTCAGGAGCACCAAATCCTCCACAACCGTAAAACACCAGTATAACTTCTGACTCCCCAAAAACTTAACAGCTAATTGTCTGTGGTTGGCCAGAAGCCTTACCAATAACACAGTCAGTTAACACATTATTTTATGTTACATGTATTATATATTCTGCATTATTACAATAAAATAAGCTAGAGGGGCACCTGACTGGCTCAGTCAGTAGAGCAGACCCTGTGACTCTTGATCTTGGGGTCATGAATTCAAGCCCCACATGGACATAGAGCTCACTGAAAAAAAAAAAAAAAAAACAAGCTAGAGAAAAGAAAATGGTATTAAGAAAATCAGAAGGTTGGGGCGAGGGGTGTCCATCTGGTTCAGCTGGTTAAGCACCTGCCTTTAGCTCAGGCTGTGGTCCTGGGATCGATCTCCATATCAGGCTCCCTGCTCAGTGGGAAGTCTGCTTCTCTCTCCCACTCCCCACTGTTTGTGCTCTCTCTCTCAAAGAGATAAATAAAAATCTTAAAAAAAAAAAAAAAAAAAAGAGGAACATCGAAAGAAAATACCATAAAATATCCACCTCTCAGTGGACCCACACAATCAAAACCCACGTTGTTCAAGGGTCAACTGTATACTATGTCTTTCTTGCAACATCCACTCTAATGAGCGGACCTACAATGTGCCAGATAGTTTACAACGTGCTGCTTTGTGTATCTTTACGTTGCTTAGTGCTTTGTGTAACAGAGACTGTGCTGCCAGATCGCCTCACAGGCTAGACCCGTTTGGGAACTGATGAGAATAAAGACTGCAACCTGGAAAAGGTTACTTGCATGTTGGTTTACCGCGGACACAGAAAAAAAGCAGGGCAATGGACACCTAAGAAAAAAATACGTGATGTTAGAGTGGCTCTAACTAGTAGCATCTTCCCTGTTCCTTACAAAGTCACACCTAAAGTCTGGGCCCTATACAGAGTAAGACACAAACCGGGTTGGCAGAGAACCGTGGTCTACTACCTTTTAGGTGGTTGACAAAGAGATGGGGAGTAGTTATATCAGCCCATGTTTGGGTTTTTAGACCCCAATTTCTTGCTGCAACAATTACATAACCTAGTTACTAACATAGTATTTTTCTTCTGATGATTTTGGACCTACTCAGTAAGTCAGCAACCTGGACATGGCTAACCAGAAAGACATTCAGTTAAAGCTTCAAGAAAGAACTCAGTAGCACTATGTTACTAATGAAAACCATGGAAAACTTGAACTAGTTTACCTAGTTGGTGAAAGCTAATGGATATAAAATGCTGAAAACCTAAGTGATTTCTAGATTGTTCTTCCAACTCAACCATTAACTTTGCTAAATGTTTCTTTTATACCTCTGCTCTTAATCTATAAAAATCTCCGCCCTGCCCCGCATAAGGCCTTAAGCCTACTAAAGGTAGCTCACTGTTAGCATGTAATCCCCAATGTGAAATAGTCTTAGAAAATGACTTCTTAGGTATAAATTCCTAATAACAAATTTTGTTAGAAGAAAAGTCTATGATTTTATTTTCAGTTTTTTGAAAATAGTTTTTAGGAAAAAAAAAAAATGACAACACAGAAAAAACTTGAAATCTCTCATTGAACTATGAACTCTTAGCAGAGGAAGAGACTTTGAATTCCTCTCCTTCTGAAAGAAGAAATCACTTCCAAAATGTCCCTTGCTCGTGTAAATCTTTCCCAAGTTTGATGTACTTCACCTCATAAAAGGAACATGATTATTTTTTTTTTAATCATTTAAAATGAAAGAAACAAAATAGGGAAGGTGGGTCTCTCATATTATACGTTTTTAGAGAAAGGTTACATCTTTGAAGCAGCTTTGTAATACTCAGAGCTGGTGTCCTCATCTATTAAAAATTAGCAAGTTGTATTCATTCAAGTACCTTAATTCATGGTACTTCATATAGTTTTATAGCTGGAAGGAGGTCCAAACAAAAACAAAACAGAACAAAATGGGAAAAAAAAAAAACAGCTAGCACAGAGCTGTAAACAAAAAATAAAACAACTTTAAAATATTGATTACTATGAGGTGGAATCAAATGAAAATGAACCCTGGATGACAAAACAAATCTCTAATTACAAAAATAAGTCCTATTATGAGCTGAAAATTTCCACTATCAGAATTTCCCGGTTACAATAAGGAAATACGTAAAAGGGGAACATAAGTAAACATGGTAATTTGGTTCTTTTCAGGTCTACTGGTCCAACTGCCAGCCACGTGAGTGTCCGGGTTTTCAACGAAGTGTGACCAGTTCTTCTGAAGAGGTCGGGTGAATAGCAACCGTGTTGTCAAAGTCAGCTTTTGTTGCCCCCATTTTAACCGCAACAGCAAAACCTTGCAGCATTTCATCACACCCGATTCCTTGCATATGGATCCCAACCACCTGGAGCAAAAAAAAGAAAAATGCTTTAAGTAAAATTTTTATTAGGTAGATGAATACATTTTTTATTTGTCATGCGAGGTACGTGATATTTTAAAACCTCTAAGACACCTGAGTCTCTTATCTGGACATGGCAGGACACAGGGTACTATGCAGTCCTGCGTCCATGTCCCTCCCCAGCCCCCCGACACAGCCCTTACTGCTCAGGCCCCTCTGGCTTTCCTTCTATCCGGAGTGTGCACTGTGCTCTCTCCTTTGCACAAGCTGTTCCCTCTGTCCAATTCTTCCTTCCCTTTTGAGTTAAGCCCATTCATTCCTCTGCTAGCTCCATTAGCCTTCCCAACCAAGTCAAATTGTCTATCATGTGATCTCCAGTACCACTCTCTCTCTTTCATGACTCTCCCCCTACAATGTTCTATTTCTTTGGGGACTAGAAAATTACAGCCCATCTTCCCTGCAGATTTTAGTCTCTACACAGAGGGGACCTGCCTACATTTGCTTCCCACTCTCTCCATAGGCCCAAGCAAAAGATGGCCCTCACGAGGCCCTTAGTCCACACACACTGCATGACCACACGGAGGACCATTAAGAGATATCTGTTTCACATAGCATTTTCCAGTTGTTTCTCAATCATTTTAAAACCGTGTTAATTGTTAATGTTCCCCTCCAGCAAATATTCTTACCAAAGTGAGAAAGTATAAAATTCAGCTATAAAAATACTTTGGTTAAAAATAAATCAAGAATAGGGGCGCCTGGGTGGCTCAATGGATTGAAGCCTCTGCCTTCGGCTCAGGTCATGATCCCAGGGTCCTGGGATCGAGCCCCACATCGGGCTCTCTGCTTGGCGGGGAGTCTGCTTCCTCCTCTCTCTCTCTCTGCCTGCCTCTCTGCCTTCTTGTGATCTCTGTCAAATAAATAAATAAAATCTTTAAAAATAAATGATGAATGAATGAATAAATAAATAAATAAATAAATCAAGAATATACTACCAAGGGGCACCTAGGTGGCTCAGTTATTAAGCATCTGCCTTCAGCTCAGGTCATGATCCCAGGACCCCGGGATTGAGCCCTCCATCGCGCTCCCTGCTTAGGGCGAGCCTGCTTCTCTCTTTCCCTTTGCCTACTGTTCCCCTGGCTGTTCTCTCTCTCTCTCTCTGTCAAATAAATAAATCTTTTAAAAAAGAAAGAAAAAACATGCTACTGAATTCTATACTTACCGTGATTAGGATGGTAAATTTTATGTTCTGTTTTTTTTACAATTAAAAAAAGTATATCTCAATTTACAACAAAAAAGCCCCAACCCATACATATATAACACGGCCAGATTTTTTTTACATATTGTGATCTAAACTGAATTTACAAAGAGCTTTCGGGGATGGCACGAACTTTATAGGATTCCTCTCCACATCCCAGTTCTTAGTCTTTGGTAGTCTGTCAAGTAATGTTTATCAAATGAATGAACGATCAAAGGCATGAAGAAATAACTGATAAGAGAAAAGAAGAGACCTCACTGATCCAATATCTGGACATCTTAGACTATTCAGGAACATTAAGGGCCAGAAAACAGCAACTTTTGTTTTGCTGCCCACCTTACTAATCTTTGCTCTGATTCTCTGCTTCTGTCAATCCTCAGTGACGCTGATTTCTATAACACAGGGATTATGTCTTCTGGCTTTTGGTTTACAGGGTCACCAAATCACATACAGACTATGCTCTTTTTGACAAAAAAAAAAACCCGGAAACAACACCTGAATCTTCAACTAAGCCGCTGTCCCTTCACAGAGCCACGTTCCCAGGGCATTCTGCCATGTCCTGCTGTAATATTTAATTCAATTTGCAAAAAAGCCCCATGGGGGGCACCTGGGTGGCTCAGGTCATGATCCCAGGGTCCTGGGATCCAGCCAGGGTCAGGCTCCCTACTCAGCAGGAAGCCTGCTTCTCCCTCACCCACTCCCCCTGCTTGTGTTCCCTCTCTCGCGGTCTCTCTCTGTCAGATTAATTAATTAACTAATTAATTTAAAAAGCCCCAAAGGTTGACTAGTACCCAAACAAATCTATTATAAAAATTATTTTTTAAAAAATCTGTTCAAATTCAAACCTGTTCAAAATCTAAATCACAATACCACTTTGTATCCAGTGGGATGATTCCAATTAAAGGCAAGTATCAAGTTGCAAGGGGCTGGGGGCACTAGAACCCTCGCACAGGGCTGAGGGCATGTGAAAAGCATGCAGCCACTCTGGAAAACAGTCAGACAGTTCCTCAAAACATTAAACCAAAACTAGGTAAGTGGTATCCCAGAAAATTTTATTGAATAAGCACTCTCTTCTTCCCTGATTGGCTATGTTAAATATAAATTTATCTTCCGATAAGTTCTTATACTTATCAGTAGTATTTCTGAGGCGTCTATCTATTCTAACCTATAGGTCCATGACAGTGGGCTTTTCTGTGGTTTTCAAACTTTCCTTCCTGTGTTTTAAAAACATAAATATATGGAACCTTCTGTATTTTTTACTTTTAGAAGTTTTTATTTGTTCATTTGAGAGAGACAGAGAGAGCACAAGCAGGGGGAGAGGCAGAAGGGAGGGAGAAGCAGGCTCCCTGCTGAGCAGGGAGCCCGAAGTGGGCCTCGATCCCAGGACCCCAGGATCATGACCTGAGCCAAAGGCAGACGCTTAACTGAATAAGCCACCCAGATGCCCCTGGAAACTTCTTTCTTAATGAAATATTACAAAGAACCCCAGTATATGTAGGCAGATAAAAGTAGGACTGCACCAGTTGAAACAGAGAAGGCTTAACTCTTTAATTGGTCTCCCGACTCCCCATCCTGCCAAATACCCCCATCCCTGCCAAGTCTGAAGACATTCTTTAGCTTACTACATTTTTCCCATACCTTTTCCTCTGCAGTGGCACAAACCATCTTCATCACACATTTTGTTTTCCTTTTGGTAACCGCATGATACATTGGGGTAAAGGTGGTTGAATAGGTCTTCACATTTTCTTTTCCATATTTATAAATGGCCTCATCTATAATGCACAGGGGGGGAAAAGCATCTGTCAAAAACCTAAACAATTCCACTGAGCTGTCAAAGAGATAAATATATAATCTGAGTAAAATCATGAGAAAATATCAAAGAAAACTACAAAGAGGGACATTCTGTAACGTAAATGCCAATGTCATGAGAGACAAAGGAAAAGCTAGGGAATTTTTGTCTCTTGATTAAAGGAGACCAAAGGGGTAAGAAAATAAATACAATGCATCCTGGACTGAATCCTGACATTCAGGGAAAAAGTGTTAAAAATTACATTATTTAAGGGGCAGCTGGCTGGCTCAGTGGGTGGAGCATATGACTCTTGATCTGGAGGTTGTGAGTTTGAGCCTCATGTTGGGTATAGAGGTTACTTAAAAAAAAAAAAAAAGAAAAGAAAAGAAAAAAAAGAAAAAAATGACATTATTTGAGAGAATGAGCATATGTGAGTAAGATCTAAAGTCTGGATAATACTGTATGAATTTATTTCTTTTTTATTACCTTTTTTGTAAACTAAAGCATAGTGACATAATATTATGTTAGGTTCAGGCGTGCAACATACTGATTCAACAATTATAAACATGATAAAATGCTCACCATGATTAAGTGCAGTCACCATTTGTCAGCATGCAAAGTTATTTTAATATTAATAGCTATATTCCCTGTGCTGTGTTTTTCATTCCCATGACTTATTTATTTTATAACTCGAGGTCTATACCTCTTAATCCCCTTTACCTATCTTCCCTATCCCTGCACCCAATATTGTAACAATTTAAATGTTATCTTTTGAAAACTGTAGCTTGCTTATGTAAAGGAATGGACTCGTTCCCAGGAAACAGATATTGAAGCATGTGTGTGTTTGTGTGTAGAGAAAAACTATGGTAAAGCAAAAATGTTATGGGTATACATAGTCCTTTGTAGTATAGCAGTCTCCTACTATGCACAGGGAAAACATTCCCGGTCCCCAGTGGATGCCTGAAACTGTGGATAATACCAAAGCCTCTGTATACTGTTTTTTCCTATACATACATATCTATGATAAAGCTTAATTTGTAAGTTAGGTACAGTAGATTAACAACAATAACTGATATTAAAAACAACTATAATACACTGTAATAAAAGTTACATGAATGTGGTCTCTCTCAAAATGCCTTATCATACTACACTTACCCTTCTTGTGATGATGTGAGGTAACAAATGCCTGTGTGGTGAGATGAAGTGAGGTGAGTGACTTAGGTGCTGTGACCCAGCATTAGGCTACTCCTGACCTTCTGATGATAAGTCAGGAGGATCATCTCCTTCCAGACCATGGTTGCCCACAGGGAACCAACCATGGAAAGTGAAACCACAGATAAGGGGACTATGATATTTTTTTTTTTTTTAATTTATTTGACAGAGAGAGATCACAAGTAGGCAGAGAGGCAGGCAGAGAGAGAGGAAGGGAAGCAGGCTCCCTGCTGAGCAGAGAGCCCGACGCGGGACTCAATCCCAGGACCCTGAGATCATGACCTGAGCCGAAGGCAGTGGCTTAACCCACTGAGCCACCCAGGCGCCCCCTTTTTTTTTTTTTTTTTTTTTTATTTATTTATTTGACAGAGAGAGATCACAAGTAGGCAGAGAGGCAGGCAGAGAGAGAGGAAGGGAAGGGACTATGATATTTTTGCAACTTTTCTTTAAATTTGAAATTAGTTCAAATAAGAAAGCTAAAAAAAGGCAAAGAGACAAAAAGGGTAGTGTGGGGAAAAGGAATTCTACTCTCCAAGTGTTAGCAGTTAAGGAGGAAAATGGAATTATGACAAGAGGCCAGCTAGAAAGGAGCGGAATTTAGGGAGTGAAGATAGGTTTAGTCAGCAACCTCCCCCTGAAGTTCCAGGGAAGATGAAAAGTACAAATTACCTGTGTTTTTAAATACCTACCTTCCGTGAGTCCCACTGTCCCAATCGGGGGGTGGCTGAAGACGACTGTGGGGATGTTGTCATAGTCTAATTTGGAATCTTCTTTGCATTCAAAAAGTCTATGGGCAAGTTTTCGGCCAGCAGCTATGGCAACTACAAAGATATTTATAAATCAGCATTTCAGTTTATTGCTCACTTTAAACCGCAGAATTGTTCTACTAACCATTTCCTCTTCTGGCTTAAAGTACTAATACTGACAAAGAGTCACACCAAAGCTCATTATAACATCTAGATCACCATAATGAAGACATACCAATGCCTTGGTAACAATTCAAAACTATCAGCTTATGTGAATTCTGTACGTTCTACTGGGGGAGGGGGGAAGATGGGACATATTTACTAGTTCCCAAACATCTGGCAGACAGTTACCTACTTAATTAGGATATTGGCTTTTTGATACAATACGAATGAAGCAAACTATATTAGTTTTGAGCAACTGCAGTTGTACGTTATAACCTTGTTCATTTCACAGTAAGGTTGTTTTTTTGTTTGTTTGTTTGTTTTCCTTTAATTCCCGAGAAGGCCTCCCCAGCCTCCCCCTATCTACCACGTACATCATGGCTCCTCCTCCCTAGCTAGTCCTGATGGATTAGGGCTCTGCTTAGCAAGGATAAAGACCATGATCCTGGATGATGAATGACTCCACACTCTCCCTTGCTGTCCAAAGGGACTTCCAGGTTCATTTGGTTCTGATGATTGTCTCAGACAATCGCCAATTACACACTTAGTCATGCTGCTACTGACTTGACAGAGTAAGTTGTTTTTTTTTTTTTTAAGTTGGAGCCCAACGTGGGGCTTGAACTAACCACCCTGAGATCATGACTTGAGCTGAGATCAAGAGTCGGATGCTTTTTTTTTTTTTTTTAAGACGCTTAACCAACTGAGCCACCCAGGAGCCCACACAAGACTTTTTTATGTTTATTTTTTAAATTACTTTTACTTCTTATTTTTTTAAAGTTTATTCTCCTTAACCTGTTTTTAATCTCGTATTTAGAAAAAAAAAGCCTACATTAGCAAAAGCATCAGTTATTAATTTTGTTGACTTAAAAATGCCTACATTAGCAAAAGCATCAGTTATTAATTTTGTTGATTTCACGTTTTTTTCCCAAAATAAGGTATCGGTAGGATACAAAAGAAATTTTCTTTGATATAATTTTCAATAATTAGATTATTGTCAAGTTTTTGAAACTTTGCTTGTTATTTTGCTTTGGCTAAAAGAACTTCCTGAAGGAGCTATAAGGCTTTGGGCATGTGACTGCAGTAACTTTCCAGTCTGACAAAAGACCCAGGGCCATTTTAGAAAGGCTAGTGAGATACCACAGGGGTACAGGGTGAAAGCAGATGGAGCGATGTTGCTAATACAGGTGGGGCAAAGAGCTTGGAATGGTGCCAGTTAACTCAGAAAGTAGATTGAGGTAAGGGATGAAGGGAGTTGGGTCGATCTTAGTCGTTATAATAATCAGGGCACCTGGCTGGCTCAGTGGGTAAAGCATGTGACTCTCAAATCTCAGGATCATGAGCTCAAGCCTCACGTTGGGCATGGAGCCTACTTAAAAAAAAATTTAAAAATACATACACACAAAAATGAAAACCTTAAAAAAAAAAGACTACATAATCACATAAGAATGCCACTCCAAATTGCTTCTTCCCAAAGCCACCTCCTTCCACTGTCACCCCATGCAACTCAGATTCTAACTTAGTCTCTTCAGAAGGAAGAAGCTGTCATCTCTATAACAATTTCAGTCTTCACTAAAGCACTTTTAAAGTCTTTTAAGGAAAACTAAGTATTAGTCAGAAAACATCAGGTACCAAACGATTTTAGTACATTATTATTTTGCCCACATTAAGACACTCATCCTTTCAACTTTGCTTAAGTTGAGTGGACTGTGAGTGGCTCAACAGTTTTCTACAACCCGCAGAGCTTCCCTTACCCAACAAAAGAGAAACAGTACCTGGAGTAAGAAGAGCTTTTCCACACACGTCCCCAACGGCATAGATGCCTTTGACGCTGGTATTCTGGAACTCATCTACTATGATATGACCTTTTTTATCAGTTTGAATCCCCTAAAAAAGTGAAAGGCTATCATGTCACTATTTGGCCTATCTACCAAAAAAGGCAAACCCAATCTCCGGATCTTCAGTTCAAGCACCTTCTCAGCCTGAATCTGAAAACCGCAACACTCAACCACAAGATGAAAAACATTTTTAGAATATTTTTATTTATTTATTTGAGCAAGCATGAGCCGGGGTGGGGGGAGGAAAGCAGAGGGAGACAGAGAAGCAGGCTTCCCACTGAGCAGGGAGCCCGACTCAGGGCTCCATCCCGGGACCCTGGGACTATGACCCAGGCACCCAAGATGACAACCATCTTAACAAGTTGAGAAGTTCAGGGGTGCCTGAGTGGCTCAGTCAGTTAAGCATCTGTCTGCCTTCAGCTCAGGTCACAATTTCAGTGTCCCGGGATAGAATCCCGCATCTGGCTCCCTGCTCAGTGGGGAGCCTGCTTTCCCCTTTCTGCCTGCCATTCTGCCTACTTATGATCTCTCTCTCTCTGTAATAAATAAATAAAATATCTAAAAAAAAAAAAAAAAAAAAAAAAAAAAAACAGCTGAAAAGTTCATATCTTTTACTTAATTTAAAAGGTAATATTTGGGGGCACCTGGGTGGCTCAGTGGGTTAAGCCTCTGCCTTTGGCCCCAGGTCATAATCTCTGGGTCCTGGGATCAAGCCCTAAATCAGGCTCTCTGCTCGGCAGGGAGCCTGCTTCCTGCTCTCTCTCTGCCTGCCTCTCTGCCTATTTGTGATCTCTCTCTGTCAAATAAATAAATAAAATCTTAAAAAAATAATAAAAAGTAATATTTTATCCAATTTTGAGGTGTTTAACAGGACTCGCCTTTGCAATACAATTCAGCTGGCCAGGTAAAACATGAAAAGGAAATACTCAACTCTCAGATGCGCTACTTCCTACCGCCGTAGAGTCCATCAAAGACAGCGCTTTCAAACTTTCAAACTTTTCCCACTGAATGGGGGCACCCGGGTGGCTCAGTGAGTTACACATCTGACTCCTGGTTTTGCCTCAGATTGTGATCTGCCAGTTGTGGGATCAAACCCTGGGTTGCACTCTGCGCTCAGCCTGGAGCTGGCTTCGGATTCTCTCCTTCTTCCCGCTCACTCTCTTTTTCATATTAAATAAATAAATAAAATCTGGGTGGGGACCCTTTTCCCACTGAAACACTCCTCTTGAAGTGCACTAATTCATAACTTAGAGGGGTTAGCCTGAAGCTGTCATCAAAAGCAGGCTTGTTTGAAGCTTACCATTCTCATTTTTTTTTTTTAAGATTTTATTTATTTGACAGAGAGACACAGCAAGAGAGGGAACACAAGCAGGGGGAATGGGAGAAGGAGAAGCAGGCTTCCCGCCAAGCAAGGAGCCCAACATAGGGCTCAATCCCAGGACCCTGGGATCATGACCTGAGCTGAAGACAGACGCTTAACAACTCAGCTACCCAGGCGCCCCACCATTTTAATTTTAAAAAATCCAAATAAATTTGGTATTCTCTCTAAAACATACTGATGTTTCCTTAACCAATTTTTTTTCCTGCATACGGAGTCAAATTTTGGCTCCAAAAAGATGTGGCATGCTTATCTTGTGGCTTTGCAGATCCCACCTGTATAAACTCCCATGTGAGAAGAGAAATAGTGGAAATAGACAACACAGTGGTTAAGAGTACAACCTTTGGACAGAGACCTGGTTCAAATCCCAGCTCTGCCACTTACTAGCTATGGGACCTTGTATAACTGCCTATTTATTAACAAATACTTGAGCCTCTAGTACAAATGAGGCATTAACCTGGTCACTGTAAATAGTGGTAAGTAATACAGATATCCTCCCTACCCCACAGAATTACAGCCTGGTAGATTGTTTATTATCTATGTGCTGCTTCTGGTTTCTTTGTCCTTAGTCCTTAAAGAGTTGTGGGCAAGAATAAAATGGGTTAGTAACAAGGTATAGGTTGACAAGACCTATACATGGTAAAAATGTTCATTTGCATCATGCAAATATATATTAATACTGAATAAGACTGAAAACTTTCATCTCATTTTTTAAAGATTCAGGAAAATATTTGAAAGGTTGAAAACTCAACCTACCAAAGCCTGTATCTACACAATGACAAAATATCTCTTGAAAGGTGAAAACCTGGATGATATGAAAACAGACAACCATTTTAACTAAATTTCACCAAATAGTAATTAAAAACAAGGAAACATCTCCCTGGATATTTTTACTTTTTAAAATGCTGAAGAACACCTTTTATGAAATGAAAAAATAATGATAAAGGATATTACTATTAGAACATAAATTAAAATGTTACACACTGCTCATAAGTCCTATCAAATATATAAACCACAAACATAAAATAATCCTGTTATTACTTGCAGAGTAGTATAGCCTATCAGGAAAATCCTTACCATCATCAAAAAGAGCAGCTGGTTAACATGGACTGAATTCATACAACCAGCCAGCATCTAAATTAATTCCTTTGTGGGGCACATGGGTGGCTCAGTCGGTGAAGCATCTCCATTTGGCTCAGGTCATGATCTCAGGGTCCTGGGATCAGGTCCCACGTTGGGCTCCCTGCTCAACATGTAGTCTGCTTCTACCTCTCCCTCTACCCCTTCCCTCCCCCGTTAGTGCTCTCTCTTACTTTCTCTCTCCCAAATAAAGAAATAAACTAATTACTTTGCATGCATAATCTATAACCCAGTGAGACAAGTACTATTTTTATCCCTATACTTACATGAAGCAATTGAAACTTAAAGAGTAATGAAGCTGCTTGCTGAAGGCCACACAACTGGTAAGTAACAGAACTAAGACTCAAAACTGGGTCAAACTCTTGAGACCCAAACCCCAAGCTACTACAGGAGACTTGCCTTCAAAATTTAAAAGAACAACTCAGAATGTTAATTACAACACTGGTAAGTCAGCTTCACATCTACTTCCATCCCCAAGTGCCCAAAATGTCCAGGATTGATGGACACACCCAATAATCGAGATTAGGTTATAGATGATAAGGAATAATTTCAAGGCTTTAAAGAGCCAGTATCATTGTAAAAAGGAAATCTGTAAGGAAGCAGCTAGTCAGGGCAGAGACCTGATCTCGGATGATCACATTAAAAAGGTAAAATAATATTTTTTTCAATTTCAAGAAGCAATGGGATTTGATGACAAATGATGCACAGATTAAAGAAGAAAAAAATCTAACCTACCAAAAGTTTAGGGGTCAAGGTGGTGGGGAACACAGAAGTGCTAAATATTCAAGTGTTTTGGTTAGACTAAGCTTACCACTTTGTTTAAATTCAGGCCACTGGAGTTTGGGTCCCGCCCAATGGCCCACAGCAGACAGTCAACATCCGGAATCGTGGTCAAGGTGGGTTTCCTACCAGGAACTGAGGTAACCATGCACAGTTCCAAGCCAGAGGGAGTCTTCTTCACTTCCTTGACCTATTGGCAAATAAAACGTGTTAATTTGGAGAGAGGGAGAGAAGGTGGAAAATAAAGAGGAAATTAGAACTCTTAACATTTAAAAATTCTCCACCAGGTCCTATATGTGGATCCTTGATGCTGACACATTCACTTTTGCTCAAAGGATGCCAACACCGCAACTCCTAGGAGCCAAGACTATTTCCTAGGTTGGCCCAAATTATCCAGCCGACGGCCAGAAGTGTCCGTTTCTGTCAACACCCTAATGCTTCAGCTTAAAAACAAGGTTTTTAAACTGTGCTTCTTAAAAAACATGATAAAATCTTAAGTCACAAATCTAATAAGCACAGTGTTGGCAACGGGAGGGTGGGAGGAAGCAGGCCACAGCGGCATTGCTAAGAACCTCACTCACACCTCATAGTTGGTATTTCTCCTGGATGTTCCTAATCAGCATAGGGAGTGAGTGAGAATTGGATCAGAAGAGCTAGGTGCACACAGTTTGGTGAAGAACCCAGGGGGTTCTGTCCCCACTACCAGGTTAACACCTCTACATTCACAAAGCAACCTCACATTTATTATTTTACTTGATGGGGCCATCACTGTGAGGGTGCAGCTCTAGAGACATAATTGCTTTTGCAAACCTACTGCTGCATGAAAACTGAAATTCAGTGATTCCCTAAGAAGTAGAGTACTCTGTAAGTCTGTCCATTTGCAGAACTCAAAGGGGTGCACTTTAAAAACAGAGTCCATAATTTTATTCCCCGAAAAAGAAATACAATCCTCAAAAATAAGCATGTTTGATAAGGCATTTGAGCACACACACACACACACACACACACACACACACACAAAAGAGTTGTAGTTTTAACTAGATTTAACTACCAGATTTCTTATCTTTTATACCTTGACTTTACTAACATATTGAGAAATACCGCTTAGGATAAAGAAAAGAATTGGTAGTACTCTAGAAAGGGATACGTTGACTGGGGGAGACACAGAGTTTGCATTTATTAAACACTCAGGTGGAACCAAAAGCAGAAAGTGTGATTCACAACACACAGGAAGAAGAGCTATAAGCATACCTGGGGCTCAGCCATACCTGTGAGTACTTCAGGACCTCTATGCCAGAATTCTCCAGCTCTTCAGTGCAGTTTGAACTGATAATTGAATCAAAATTTCTAAGTACCTGTATACAAACAGAGGCACCAGAGAGATGGGTGGTGGGAAAGGAATAAAACTTAAATGAAGATAACATTACAAACTTGGTACCCAAATATCAGCATCTTCCCTCCTATCACCTCTTTCCTTCATGGCCATATTGTAAGTGGAGTTTCAATCTGTATTCCTACATCACCACCAATGTCTGTATTATGTCTGGTTTCACGCACTCCCGTTTTAGAGTTAAACAGACAGGCAACCTTCAGGCTTCTATTCTCTTTGCCATGTCCCTCTCCTCTCAAGCCTGCTGCTTTTCTCCATATTTATCTCTCAGGAACAGAAATTCTCCTTCCCCTTTCTGTATTTCCAAGGCAGCTTCTACTCTAGTATGATTTAAGGGAAGATCTCACTAGCAAAATCTCCTTATCCATGCAAAAAAGTCAAGGCCACAGCCTTGGAGAATTCTTTGTGATAATCCACCTGCAACAAACCCCAGGCAGGGTGAAGATAGGAGGTCACGAGTTATTCATAGGATAGCTCTAGAACGGACATACACCAGGACAGGGAAGAGGAGAATCAGCCTGATGTTTGGGGGCTGGGGGTTGGCAAGGGCAGGAAACCCAAGTGCATGTGCGATGAGCTGGTTTTCCAAATGCAGGGATTATCCACTCTACTGATACACTGCTGCAGTTTATTTCCTTACTTATACATTAAATTAAGGCTGTCAATCCCTCTACCTCTCTCCTTCCTTCCAGTTTTCTGGATATACTCCTGCGATGCAAAATAACATAACATTTACCTAGGGGAGACATTCTTCAGGATATAAATCTCCTACGGGTGAATTATATGATAAGTCTCAAGGCCAAAGAGAAAGTTCCTTTAAGTACATGTTGACTGGGGTTATTAATTTCCCTTGTCTCCCTCTATTTGCTCAAATAATCAAGAATTAGAATCATAGAATCAAATGAACCAATCATTTGAATGGTTAGGGATCTGATAAATGTTCCTAAAGCATTAAATGACTTGCTCAAATCACACACTTGTTAAGATCAACCAGATTCTTAGGCCAACACTCTTGTTATTGTCTGGAACTATGTCCCTGAAAGCTCAAAACTGTACCAAAACCAGTGGTACTATCATGATTAATCAAAAACAAAAAACAAAAAATAAACCAAAAAACAAAAACAAAAACAGGGTGCCTGGGTGGCTCATTCGGTTAAGCGTTTGGCTAAGGTCATAATCCTGGGGTCCTGAGATCGAGACCCGCATTGGGCTCCCTGCTTGGTGGGGAGCCTCCCTTTGCCTCTGCCTGCCGCTCCCCCTGCTTGTGCTCTCCATCAAATAAATAAATACAATCTTTAAAAAAAAAAAACAAACATATAAAGCAACATTCACCAGATAATGACATAGAGGCTGCATATTGGCAGAAACCACTGATCCATGAACATGTTTGAACTGCATGGGTCCACCTATGCAGATTTTTTTTTTTTTTTACAGTATGATATTGTAAATGTGTTTTCTCCTATGATTTTCTTTTTCTTTAAGTAAGCTCTACACCCAGTGTGGGGCTTGAACTCATGACCCTGGAATCAAGAGTCACATGGTCTCCCCATTGAGCCAGCCAGGCACCCCTCTCTTAAGACTATTTTTTTTTTCAGAGAGAGGGAGAGGGGGAGACAGAATCCTAAGCAGGTTCCACGCCCAGCATGGAGCCGGATGACGGGCTCAATCTCATAACCCTGAGATCATGACCTAAGCTAAATTCAAGAGTAGAGTCAGACGCTTAAACAACAGAGCCACCAAGGTACCCCTCTTATGATTTTCTTAGCAACACTTTCTTTTCTCCAGCACACTTTATTGTAAGAATTTGACATAACACATATACGAAATACATGTTAACTGTTTATGTTACTGGTGAGGCTCCAGGTCAAGGTCAACAGTAGGCTATTAGTAGTTTGTAGGGAGTCAAAAGTTGCACTTGGATTTTTCCACTGCACAGGGGGTCAGCACCCCTAACCGCCAAGTCATTCAAGGGTCAACTGTACTGTCCTTGGCTTTCTAAGCCCTCAGCTAACTCTCAGTTATGAGGCTGATTTGCAGTTGCAAAACTTTGGCTTTAATTTCTTCATCTGTAAAATGACATTCAATAAGATGATCTGTAAACTTCCGTTACTATTATTTTTTTGTGATAAAAAATATATAACATTAAATTTACCAACTTAATCATTTCTAAGGATACAGTTCTGGAGCGTTATGTCTACTCATTGTTGTGCCAGCCATCTCCAGAACTTTACTTCTTGCAAAACTGAAACTCTACACTCTATTAAACAGCTCCCCACTTCCTTCCGCCCTCAACCCTGGTAACCCACCATTCTACTTTCTGTTTTTATGAGTTTGACTAGATACATCATATAAGGGAAATCATAAGATTTGTCTTTTTGTGACTGGTTTATTTCATTTGGCGTAATGTTCTCCAAGTTCATCCATGTTGTAGCCCGAGTCAGAATGTCCTTCCTTTTAAAGCTGAATAATATTCTACCATATGATATACACATTTTCTTGATTCATTCATCTGTCAAAGGACACTTGGGCTGCTTCATCGATGCCTGGGCTCTTGTGAATAATGCTGCCATGAACACAGGTGTGCAAGTATGTTTGATACATTTTCTTTTAATGCAAACACTGTAGTAAATTTTTTTGACTGAGTGTTATTAATCCAACACTACTCTCTGATCATACAAAATTGATTTCCAGAATAAGAAATTAACGTGACAGTCTGTTCAATTTAACTAGTGTTTATATTTAAGCCTGCAGGTTTCCTTTTAAGACACCTGATACCATCTACTACTTCAGGATGAAAATACCAGCCAGTTTGATCCAATCAAAATCATTATCAGCTGGTAGCTGATAAGGACATATAGCCCAATTCAAAGAGCTTCTCTGCAGTTCCATGCAGAATAAACCAACTGACTTCCACATGCTTTACACCCTGGTCTTTAATATTGTCAGGGTAGATTTTTTTAAAAGATCAAGCAAAGGAAAGGGAAAAGGAAAAAAGCAAAGAATTTACCTTATCATGCCGTATCATTAGTGATGTCTTTGAACCCAGAGCGGAAAGAATGCCAGCTATCTCTACAGCAATGTAGCCCGCGCCGACAATGACACTGCGGCTAAAATGAGAGAGACAGTTAGTATTTTTAAATAAACGGATTTTGGACTAATTTTAGATTTACAGAAAAGTTGAATAGTACAGAGGTGTCCTGTATACACTCTGCCCTGTTCTTCTCCAAGTTAACATCTTGCAGGATCACGGTACACGTGTCAAAAGTAAGAAATGGATGTTGGTACATTGCTACTGACTAAACTCCAGACTTATTCAGACGTCACCAGTTTTTCCATTCATTTCCTTTTGCGGCTCCAAGATTCAATCCTGGATACCACACTGCAGTTTTATGTAGAAAATATCCCTTTGTAGAAGGGAAGTATATTTTTAGTTATCAAAAGTTCTTCAGCCTCAGGGCGCCTGGGTGGTGCTGTTGGTTGAGCAACGAGTCTTGGTTTGGGCTCCAGTTGTGACCTCACGGTTGTGAGATCGAGCCCTATGTCACGCTTCACGCTCAGCGTGGAGTCTGCTTAAAAGATTTTATCTCCCTCCCCTTCTGCCCCTCTCCCCACACTCACTCTATCTCTCAAATAAATAAATCTTTAAAAAAAGAAAAGTTCTTGGGGTGCCTGGGTGGCTCAGTGGGTTAATAAGCCTCTGCCTTCGGCTCAGGTCATGATCTCAGGGTCCTGGGATAGAGCCCTGCCGCACAGGGATCTCTGCTCAGTGGGGAGCCTGCTTCCCCCTTTCTCTCTCTGCCTGCTTGTGATCTGTCAAATAAATAAATAAAATCTTTAAAAAAAAAAAGTTATTTTGCCTCATTTCTTCAGAGAGAAAAAAAACCTTTGAAACTAGAGATGACTTTTTATTTTTTTATTTTTTTTTAAAGATTTTATTTATTTATTTGACAGATGGAGATCACAAGTAGGCAGAGAAACAGGCAGAGAGAGAGGAGGAAGCAGGCTCCCTGCTGAGCAGGAAGCTTGATGTGGGGGTGCCATCCCAGGACCTGGAGATCATGACCTAGCTGAGCCAAAGGCAAGCACTAAACCGACTGAGCCTCCCAGGTGCTCCCCAAGATGACTCCTTATGAGTGACCTTCATACCTAAACCTAAAACTGGCAACTAACTCACCATGATTCTTCCCTGCTCAGAACTGCCTTTTTTTTTTTTTTAAGATTTCTATTTCTATTTACTTATTTGACAGAGAGAGAGTCAGCGAGAGAGGGAACACAAGCAAGGGGAATGGGAGAGGGAGAAGCAGGCTTCCCACTGAGCAGGGAGCCCAATGCGGGGCTCCATCCCAGGAGCCTGGGATCGTGACATGGGTCGAAGGCAGACGCACATCTACTGAGCCACCTGGGCGCCCCTCAGAACTCCTCCTTGATCACTCTTCAATTCTACCAATCTTTGCAGTAGGTTACAGGCTACTTAAAGCAAGCCATGTAACTTACAGGATAGATCTGAATGAAAGTAGACTCCCCTGCCTAAATTTCAGTCTAAAAAGGCATCTTCAGCACTAGATAAAGGCTGACGAAGGTCTGAATCAGGGGTGGAGAAGCCGATCCCGGCCCTAGGGCAATGAGGATTCCCAACATGCTGCAGCCTGGAGCATCGTCGATACCCCTGAGATGGAGCTGCCCCAGTCAGGGCTGGGTTTGCTGAGGCTTCAAAGAACTTACAGTGCTTGGAAAGAACCAAGCAATCTGGGAAGAGCAGAGGAAAGCTGTGTGTGTGGTTTTTTTTTAAAGATTTCATTTATTTATTTGACAAACAGAGATCACAAGTAGGCAGAGAGAGAGAAAGGAGGAAGCAGGCTCCCCTCTGAGCAGAGAGCCCGATGTGGGGCTCGATCCCAGGACCCTGAGATCATGACCTGAGCCGAAGGCAGAGGCTTCCCCATTGAGCCACCCAGGTGCCCCAGAGGAAAGCTTTCTTTACTACCTTCCAAAGGTAAGGTATCCATGGGGTGAGTCTGTGCCATCAGAGGGGTCTGGTCCAAACAGAGGACGAAGCGTGAACCCAAAAAGCGGCATGTCAGCTTACCTTACAACCCAGTGTTTGAAAAGAGAAATGTCCCCATAGCCTGGAAACCATGAAATAGCTCTTCCATCTCAACCTCCCTCTTTCCTATTATGTTTGACCTCCGCTCCTTTCTCGAAGGCATGAGATCGAGCCCCGCTCAGTGAGGCATCAGCTTCAAATTCTTTCTCCCTTTCCCTCCTCCCTGTCTCTCCCTACACACACACACTCATGTATTCTCTAAAATAAATAAAATCTTAAAAAAAGAAAAAGAAAAAAAATTGTTCATTCATTTCCTATGTTCCCAGAATCCTTTTTTCCTAACACACATAAATTCACTTATTAAACTTGTCTTGCTAGCATTTTAAATATATTAAAATAAATGATTTGATTTTTTAAATCCTTTATTTTAAAAGACTTCACGGACAGGTATCTGTAAAGTAGATTCTATGAGGGTGAATCTAGATTGACTTGTATCATCCAGACATGACAAGTCATGACCACATTTCTGGAAACATTCTCCCATGTGTCCTCATTCAACCCTAAAACCAAACAGGACCGGGCGGATCATGAGGGAAAAAGAGCGGTTCTCTGACACAGTTGTGTGCTCTGCAAACAGCAAATATAAAATGGACTGTGCCTCCCTCAAAGTCAGAAGAGTGCATGCTCCAAATATCTTCATGGGTGGTTTCCACTGCAGCTAAGAGACTCCGAGAAGCTCTCTTGCCCCTTCTTCACCATCTGCGGCTCCAGGTGAATTAAGGTAAAGTTTCAGACAATGGGTTATTAGTCACCCTCCATGAAGGCCTTTACAGAAACACAGGATTAAGACTTGGAATGGGCTTGGCAGCCCCTCGAGGGAGCAGCGGCGTTGAGCAACACTGATTTCCAGATTTGGTGCTACTTAGAGGGAGATAAAGGCCCATCCTGAGCCAAAACGGTCCCTCCAACCTAGAAAGCCTGCAACTGGCAGCTTCCTCAAATTAGAGAAACCGTCTTCCTCAGTAGATTTTATTCCTACACATCTAATTTCGTGACAGACATTTACGAAGGTCGTCTGGACAAATCCACATGGAGGACAAACCCAGAAAACCTCTCTTTTGTGCAAACAACAGGGCTTTCATTTATGGAGGTTCCCTGGGCACCAGCGGCTCTGGAAACCAGAATCAGTTAATTGCGACACATCGGCAGATGATGCTGTATTCAGGTGAAGAAAGAAGATGGTTTTAGGACTTTACTATTTACTCTTCAAAACCACCGTGTGTTTAATTCTCGCCCTAAAAACTGTAATGAAAGATCTGAGTCAGGGGGCGCCTGGGTGGCTCAGGTAGTTAAGTGACTGGCTCTTGATTTTGGTTCAGGTCGTGATCTCAGGGTTTTGAGACTGAGCCCTATGCTGGGCTCTGCGCTTAGCGGGGAGCCTGCTTCTCTCCCTCTGCCCCTCTGCACTCTCTCTCAAATAAATAAATAAATCTTAAAGAAAGAAAGAAAGAAAAAGACAGGTCTGAGTTGTTCACTGGGATATTAGTGGATGAGATACCCAAGGTCATTAAAGGAGAAGCAGGTGAAGAAAATTCAAGGGAAGGCTGCATTTAATGGCTGGGCGGGGGAGGCAAAAGAAATGTTAGCTAGAGAGACTGAGGAAGAACAAACCGCTTACCCAGGCAATTCTTCCAGTTGGAAAAATCCATCACTCGTTATTCCTAGGCTGGCCCCTAGGGAGGAAAATGCAATACAGATCACACAGACCAAGCTTTCCCTTATAAAAGGGTATCAAAATTTTGTATAGGACCCAGATGCTTTCTCGGCCATCACATACTGTTTTGACAAGTTTTGTCAAAGTCTCCACTTGCGAAGCTGCCAACCCAGTCTTTCCTGAGTACACATTTTCATTTTCTCTCTAGAATTAAGAGAAGTGATGACTGCCTATTACATTTTTCTGAGGAACTAAGATCGTCTTGGCTCTCATGAAGAGACTCTGCTGGCTCTGTTTCATTCTCCTGCCCCCAAATGTAGGTGTGAACCCTCGGCTCAGCCTTGGCTCTCCTGTGTTTTTCTTCAAAGGTTTCAACCAACTCTCCCCTGACGGTGGAGGACTTTCAAATATTCCAGTTTTGACGTTTTCCCCAAGTCCCAGTCCCAGATTCCTAACTGCCCCACTACATAATTCTACTTTGCTTCAAACTCAGTATGTTTAGAATTGAATCGTAGGGGCACCTGGGTGGCTCAGTGGGTTAAAGCCTCTGCCTCTGGCTCAGGTCATGATCCCAGGGTCCTAAAATTGAGCCCCACATCAGGCTCTCTTCAGCAAGGAGCCTGCTTCCTCCTCTCTCTCTGCCTGCCTCTCTGCCTACTTGTGATCTCTGTGTGTCAAATAAATAAATAACATCTTAAAAAAAAAAAAAAAGAATTGAATCTTAAACTTTAGGTCCCAGCTATATCCCTCTCCCAAGTTTACCACTGCAGTTAAACCGAACACTTTCCACCAATAACCCAAATGAAACCCTGAGTTGTCCATCTAGGATTCCTTCTCTCAATGCCACCCACAGTATTTCATCAATTAATAAAAATACTACACTTTGCCAAATTTGAGGTGTCATGATTAAAGCACACATCCGGGGCACCTGGGAGTGCAATCAGTTAAGCATCAGACTCTTGGTTGCAGCCCAAGGTCATGGTCTCAGGGTCGTGAGATCAAGTCCCACATCGGGCCCCACTCTCAATGCAGTGTCTGCTTGAGATTCTCTCTCTCCCTCTCCCCTCCCCTCCCACTTGTGATCTCTTTCTTCCTCTAAAATAAATAAATCTTTAATACAAAATAAAGGACACATCCTGATCTCAGATGTGATGAATATACTTTTTTTTAATGTGTCCTGGAATCAATGAAATCCAGCAGCTGATTCTTCCTTCTGAGTCCATTATGCCTGTCCTCCTCTCTGAGGCCTGGCCCACAGCAGCGGCTCAGTAAGCATCTGCAGAACCGAGCTTCTCCTTTACAGATCAGAGGCTAACGCTGGGGTTCAGCACCATATCATCACCCCCACACATTCTACTACGACGGCTCTCCGCACTCATCTCCCTCCTCTGTGAGTCCCTGTCAGATCAGTTGTCTAAAATTATCGCTTACATCTTGTCACAACTCTATTTATAAGCTAACAGTTATTTGACCCAGTTGTCGTGAATTCTAGAGATTCCTTCATTTGACTTTGTAAGTCTCCGTAATCTGGCCCTAACTCTTTTCTAGTCTCAGCTTAATGAATGGGCCCCCAGAACTTCAGTACTGGAAAAATTGGTTGAATTGGCTCAATACCTTTCGAAGACATCTTTATTTCCCACTGGTTCTTTCTGTCTTCCTCTTCCTCAGCACTTACCACTCAATCTGTTAGCCTCCTTTTTCCTGGAAAGTCTTTTTGGTTGATGCCATCCTATAGTAATCTGTCCCACCTGTGAGCACCCTAAGCCTAGAAATAACCCTGGAACACTGACCTTCTATTTAATTCTTTGTATGTGTTTTTTATTATATGTTTTAAATTAGTAAATGTATACATTTTAAAAATTCGAAAAGCACAACAGAGCATCTAGTGAAAAGCAGTCTTTCCACCACGACCTCTAGTGCTCTCCTTTAAGGGAGTCAGCATCACAGGGCTTTGAGTATTTTTCCAGAGATATTCCAGTGCTGTGGACAGTCTTCCTGCCTTTTGAAAAAGACACAAATTGTAGCATACTATACACTCTGTTTCATACCTTGCTTTTTTTCACTTAACAAGCAGTCTTGAAGACTGCATCATATTAGGATGCTTATGTCCAAATTTTCAGTTAAATTTTAAGGTACTTGAGAATAGTACCTTATTGTTTTTTACGGTAGTTGCTCCTGAACTTTTGGGGGTCATGAACCTCCTCTTAAAGCTAGTGAAAGTTTTGGATCCTCTCCCCAGAGAGAACAAAACACATAAATGCATATACAACCCAAATTTCTCATTTAATTCAGGTTGGTCACGGATCTTATAAGGCCAATCCAGGGAGAATACAAAATATGGATAAGCTATGATCACCGCCCAAAAAGACCTTATAATTTAGCTGGAGAGAAAGACATGAACCATGTTTCTTATGTGAGAATAAGGCAGCATGTTCATAGTTTATCCCTGTGTGCACAAAATGCAAGAGCAAATAGGACTATCTGAAATTCCTTACTGCTTTAATTTTATAATTTTCTATGTAAGAGAGAAAACTATGCATATCAAGTAGGTTATTAAGTTATATCTGTACAAGATTTCACTTCCTTAAACAAAACACAAGTACAGAACATATCTTGTAGGGGTACCCGGGCAGATCAGTTGGTTAAGCAACTGCCTTCAGCTCAGGTCATGATTCTGGAGTCCGGGATCGAGACCCACATCAGGCTCTTCTCCCGCTGACCTCTCTCCTCTCATTCTCTCTCTCTCTCTCTCTCTCAAATAAACAAATAAAATCTTTAAAATAAACACACAAAAACAAACAAACAAACAAAGAACATGTCTTGTAAATAACCACCCAGGGGACAAACCCAGGTGGGTGACCATCTCTGTCATGCTGAAAGGATGAGATTCTTTGCTGATTTTTCTTGCTGTGTTACCTGTAGGCTGTATGAACTTGGAGCTAGAAGAAATATCTTTGCCCCATCACCAGGCACAAGTTAAGCCAATTACATTTAGGTTCTGCGGAGGCCTTCTCCTCTGTGTGGCCTTGTCCAAGAGCAAGAACTGGAACAGGCAGATCCCCTAGCATCGCTCGGAAGGCTGAAGACAACAGTATACTCCCCTTGACGGTTAACAACAAGTATTTGCCTTGAGAAGACTCACCGGGGATCTGGCTCTCCTGAGGACGTGAGGGCACGCCACCTGTGGCAATCAGGATGTGAGGAGCAGTGTACTTGTTCCCATTGACCTCTACTGTGGGCTCCGGATCACACGTGAATGCTGCATGGCCATGGATGATTTCTATATGGGACTGGAGAAGGGACAATGACATTAGCCTGTGCTCAAGATACAAGAACACCTGTGGCGACATATCTGCTCTTTCCCTCTCTATGGAGGCCATCTAGATTTGAGGTTTGCTGACGCCAAGACAACTCTGTCACGTCTGAGTTTCTGCGGAACGTCTGTTCACTGACGCTTAGGTAAGGGGGTTGCCGTGTGATGCTGGAAGTGCGCCGCAGGATGCTATAAAGATGCTATTTTGGGCCAAAATCCAGAGACCGAAAAAAATATGTGCCAGTCACCTCCCAGGAAAAAACCCTCCATCTCTGTCCACAGGAGTTGGGGAGAAAGTCCTCCTCACTGGCAATGAAATCACACTGAAGAATGGTGTGTCTGGAGGAGGGGCAGAAGGCTCAGAAAGACAAAAGGATGAAGGTGAAGAAAGCAGAGGCAGAAGAGGAACACTCTGGCCAAGGGAGGGAAATGCAACACTTCTGTTTTCTCAAACTAAATGGAAGTATACCACAAAATCCGACAACAATGAAGTTCTGTGCTAGAGACGTTACGAAGTCAGACTCTGGCACCCTCTGTGCTGGGGCCTCCCTTTCGGGGAATGAGGACAAGCTTCTGAAGCTGTGATATGTGTATCGGCAAGCAAATGTGGGCAACTTACCAGGACAATGGAATCGTGGGAGCTTGATCACAAAAGAGCATATTTCAACATTTCGGAACATGCTCTGTTCTGAATTAAGTTATTTCCTCCTTCCCAAATAGCCCTCCGGGTGCCCTGCTTAACCAAGCTGAATCAAGGTCAGCGTCAGAAGCCACAAGAAAAACCTTCCTCAGGAGAGAATGGTTTCCCATAGGGTGCTAGAGGGGTCTGGGTCAACTGCCAATAATAATCATGAGGGGGAGAAACAGATAGAATTTTTATTTTCATTTCCTAAGATACTTGACAGAAAGTATCCTTTCCTATTCACAAGCTCTGGATCGACTATAAGTAATTCCTTTCCCATAAGGTCACATACACTAAGTTTGACTACACACCAAGATTTGTGAATATTTAAAAAAAAAAAAAAAAAATGCTGTTCCCTGAGTGACTTTCCTAGCTCTTCTGCAAAAGTATTTAAGCTCACTCCATTTTTTAAAAAAAACTGATGTGGGTGTCTTAGTATAACAAGTGGTATGCTCTATGCTCAAGTCTAATGGTCTTAAAATCTCTTGTCATCCATGTAGAGGGGACCGAAGGCCCTCAAATACTTGAATTAGGATTAAGGTCAGAAAATATCACCCTCCGGGGGCACCTGGGTGGCACAGTGGGTTAAGCCTCTGCCTTCGGCTCAGGTCATGATCTTGGGGTCCTGGGATCGAGTCCTGCATCGGGCTCCCTGCTGAGCGGGGAGCCTGCTTCCCCTGCTTGTGCTCTCTCTCCTTCTTTCACTCTCTGTCAAATAAATACTTTAAAAAAAAAAAAAAGAAAGAAAATATCACCCTCCAAAAAAGTAAACCCAATGAATAAGAATCATTATAAAAATACATGAGGTTAGCCATTTATAGAAGTAACTGAACCCTAAAAGCTGGCTTATAGACATGCTGTCAATGAGATTATGGGGGCCCAAATATCACCGACAATCTACTGATCTAAATACAATCTAAGCCATGCAGAAATCTTAGAACCTGCAAAGTGAAACCACGAAGGCAAATGAAGGGTGGTGGGGTATACACTGTCAAGGGAAGGACAGCCGGGGACCCCTGGGTGGCTCCGTTGTTACGTGCCTGCCTTCGGCTCAGGTCATGATCCCAGAGTCCTGGGACTGAGATGCATGACCGGCTCCCTGCTTGGTGGGGAGTCTGTTTCTCCCTCTGTCCCTCCCTGGTCTCTTTCTCTCTTTCCCTCTCTTAGAGAAAAAAAAGAAAAGAAAAAGGGCATCAGCCAGATTGTGCACCATTTGTCAACGTCTCCAGCAGCCCCAAGGGGAAGTACAACATTTAAGCACCAAGGCAGAAAAAGCCAGAGACTGGCAAAAGATAATATATATTTGCTGAAGGTAAACAGGCCTTTGCCCGGTGTACTTGATCACACTTCATTCACAAAAACAACCTTCTGAACTGTAATTTGTTCTCTTGACTATATCTAGCCACCAAGGTCGAGGCTGCTGGGAGCAAATGAGCAATGGCAGCCTTCCAGCCAGGCTGTACTTCTGATCTGAATAAGCTGGTGTATTGTTGTGTAAATCAGTCTCTGTTTGGGGTTTCTAGAACTAACTGGAGGGTGAGACCTACTCAAGGGGTGGCCATCATGAGAGACCTGGTCTACGCATCACAGCAGGCACAGCCCACTCTGTAGAAAAAAGACACCTCCTGAGCAGAGACCCTGCTCTGGCAGGTCAACCTCAAAACCATTAACTGCAAAAGAAATTAAAGAAACAACAAGAGATACGTGCAAAGGCTATGTTTTTTGTCTGGCCAGACCGGTAGCACACTCCAGCAGAGAACGGCCCCCTCTCCAAACCCCAAACCCAGCACACGCACCTTGGTGAGATTATTTTGATAGATGGTGTTCAGGCGGCTCACATAGGCATCACGCTTCTCCTTTATAACGCTGTAATGAAACTTGAGTCAGTACTGAGAAACAGGGTTCTCTTCTTTCCTTTAGGGACTGGGGCATCTGTCCCTGAACACCCCTTTCAGCAGAGAATTACACACACACAGAGCAGTCAACAAGATCCCCAGGAGGGAGTATCTCTGAAGGCAGCTGCCCCTGCCCCTGTGCCCATCTGCTCTGCCATATGTAGAGAACCCTTACTCTAGTCCAGGGAAGATGTTCACGTGGCATCCACGGTGTATAAATTTCGTTCTGCAGATAAGACAGGGAGAGCTGCTTTGGCAAGTCCCGAGTACTTAGGGGCCACTTGATAAACATTTGTTGAATAAGTGGATGGATTTCTGAGTATTTTGAAAATTTTGATGGCTCCTAAAACTTTATGGCAATTCCTTTAAAAGTTAAACATAGCGGCGCCCGGGTGCTCAGTGGGTTAAAGTCTCTGCCTTCGGCTCAGGTCATGATCCCAGGGCTCTGGGATTGAGCCCCACATGGCTCTCTGCTAAGCAGGGAGCCTGCTTCCTGTTCTCTCTTTGCCTGCCACTGCCTACTTGTGACCTCTATCTGTCAAATAAATAAATAAAATCTTAAAAATAAATAAAATAAAAAATAAAATAAAATAAAAGTTAAACATAAAATCGCCATTTGAGGGGCGAGGCAAAGAAACAAATAAAAAATTTTGAAAATGATAATAAATAAAATTGCTATTTGACCCAGCAATTTCACTCCTAGGTATAGACCCAAAAGCAGGGACTTGTAGATCAGTGTTCACAGCAGCATTATTCACCGCAGACTAAAGGTGGAAACAACCAAAAGTCCACTGAAGGCTGAATGGATAAACAAAATGTGGTATGAACACAAGGGAATATTTTTCAGCCTTAAAAAGGAATGAAATTCTGACACATCCCACGACATGGATGAACTTTGAAAACATTATTCTAAGTGAAATAAGCCAGGCTTAAAAGGACAAACGTCGTATGAAGTACCTAAAACAGGCAAATTCATAGAGACAGAAAGTAGGATGGTGATACCAGGGCCTGGGGGGAGGGGAGATGAGTTATTGTCTAATAAGCACCTTGTTTCTGTTCTGGATGGAGGAAAGGCTCTCGAAATGGATGGTGGTAATAGTTACACAACACTATGAATATACTTAATGGCCCTGTATTGACAACTTAAAAATAGCTAAAATTGACTTTTCATGTCTTTGAAAGCCATTTTATCGAGGTAAGACTGACATACAAAAAACTGTACATGTTTAGTGTACATAACTTGATGGGTTTAGAGAGAAGTACACACCTTAAAACCAGCATCACAATCAAGGCCACGGATATATCCATCACCTGCAAAGGTTTGTTATATACATTTTACCATAGTAACACCCTCCCCAAAAACGTTTACGGCTCATTTAATTATGAAAGATAAATATATTTGTAAACAGAACACTCTGAGCATTAACGCTTACCGCCAATTGAATTTACTCTCACAGCTTTGAAAGCCATAATCAACGTGATCATGCATGAATTCAGAGTGGACAGCCGTGTTCCACATTACCTGTCAAGAAAAAAAAAAAAGTAACCACAACAGTAGTACATGAGTCCTGAGAAAAGAAAGAAATCATGAATGAAAGGTAACTACATAATAGCAGATAAAAATAATGAACTTTAAATTAAAAATAAAACTAAACACTCTAAAAGTTCAGCAATATGACCAGAGAGATGTAAGGAAGCTGCTGAAATGTCGCAGGAAATTATTTCTATTATATTCCCTACTCCATAGAAGCAGGATGTTATAAGCCTCCCAGTCCTGCTGGTAAAATTTATTATTGCTTACTTCCTCCGTTTAAGTTTTAGGTTTGTTGAAGCCCCATCTTCTATGATTAATTCTAGGGAATGGAAATGCATCTGTAGCTTTATAGTGAAGTGATTTAGAAGAAGCTATGAGATCAAGCTGAGGACTGAAAACCTTAAGAGAACGAATCCCTCTTATAAACTCGGTACCTATGAACATATCCTTGTTGTGTAATCAGGCATCTGGAATTCAAAGGTTTGTTGCATCTCTGTGGAATGCAGCCTAAAATTTGTAAAGGCCTTTTATGACAACTGATCATCAAGATAGCTGAATTCCAGTTGGCATCCAGAACTCTAGATGACAATCATTTTTCTTTGTCAGATAAGCCTAAGACTCCATTTTTGATAAGCATTAGATTTCTTCTTTGTACTGTTCTCCCTTTATGCCTAAAGATGAGTAATTGGTGACCCTGCTGGATTCTGCTCATTTTTTAAAATTGAGGTGAAATTCATATAATATAGAATTAACCATTTTATCTGCTAGATTGTTTATCTTAAATAGTACATACAACAGGTTTGTCAGTACTACAAAATAAGATGAGTTATTTTAAGAAATACCACTATATGTCATCCCATCATGAGGTACCATATTTATATACTTCCAATGCGTATTATATATGCTGCTATAGCATCCGACAGCCTCTGGAGAAGCTCTATACGATAGGCTCATCCTAATTAGGGTAGTAGCAGCCCCATCCATCTGATTTCTTATCTACCGCTGCCCCACTCTATCCTTCTGGAGGGCAGTTACTCCAGGCTTTAGCCTGTTCTAGAAAACAAGAGGCAATTAACCAACTGATCTTCAAGAATGCAAAAAGCACTTTGAAGTCAGTAGAGCCCTATGAAAATACAAAGTAAATGTCCTGCACATGTGTTCAGAATAGAATGAAACAAAACGTAATATACAGGAACAAAATATTACCAATTCAGGCTACTATACCCAGATGGTATTTAAATAATGAGGTAGCACCAATCAATGGATTTACTACCATAACTGGTTTAAACTACTTTATAACTGATTGACATAATTTATATATCATAATTGCATGACTCCAATTAGAACAGGGTACAAAGGGGCACCTGGGTGGCTCAGTGGGTTAAAGCCTCTGCCTTCAGCTCAGGCTGTGATCCCAGGGTCCTGGGATTGAGCCCCGCATCGGGCTCTCTGCTTGGTGGCGAGCCTGCTTCCCCCGCTCTCTCTGCCTGCCTCTCTGCCTACTTGTGATCTCTGTCTGTCAAATAAATAAAATTTGTAAAAAAAAAAAAAAAAAAAAAAAGAACAGGGTACAAAATCTAAGACCAAAAGGAAAGAAAACAATTGAGGAAAAGTGTCCCACAGTAAAAAAGAAACTTTCCTATGATTAAAAAAAAACAACAACACACAAAAATCCAAACCTACCTACCCATACTGGGAAACAGATTATAAAAAAACCCTTCTGGCATTATACTCAGGTATGTGTCACTGAAGAGATTAGGAATATTCATTTACCTGTTACCAAAAAAATGCCAGTTTAGAATGTAATCTCAGTAACAAAGGGTTGTAAATTTAGGATTAGAACATGTTAAAGCACGTTCAAATGTGGAGTAAAATTATTTGCCAGCACAAGCAAGAGGCAGCTTTGGAAATAAGAGCTGCCATTTCTTCCTCTTTTTTCACAGGGGAAGGACAAGTTCATTCAGTGTGCCCTACACCACAGATACCAGGAAAGAAAACCACCACAGTTGTTAAGAGAATCCATGAGGCTACAGGATTAAATGAGAATACTTAAGCAGCTTCCATTCAATCATTTAGATTGAGAAAAAGCAATCCCGTGCAGATGGACCAGTCCTAATTACTAGACCTAGATATTATCTCACTCACGCACTCTAAGCTAATAAATCAACGCATTGCTTTATCAAACATGTAAAAAAAAGTGTTGAAGGAAGAAGAAATAGAAATTCTACCTTTTTGGGTACACATCCAACATTCACCTAGGAGGAAAAAGGACAAATTTTAAGAATATTAAACTGAAATCATCACACAAACCTGCAAGAAATTAACCCCAAGCATCAACCCAGGAGAACTCCTTAAGTTTCTAAGTCGCATTCTACAGTTAGTTCCTTTTTTTTATTACAGAGTTGTTAAAGACATGAGTGTTCCTTTTCTTATACAATGAGGCAGGGACCTTTGTTCCTCAGCATTTTCTCAAGAAAAACGGTCACTGAGAAAAAGAGAGAAAATAATTCCACGTCCATGGGGCTATGCAGTGCAGGGGTGGAAGAGGTCAGAAGGTGGCGCAAGCCTGAACTTGCACAGAACACAGAAGTCTGAAGCAGAAAAGAAAGCAGCAGAAGGAAAGACCCACCAGCTAAATAAGGGCAACTGAAACATCTGAGCAGCTAATCTAGAGGATTTCTGGGAAACTTACTGTGGTAGATGCTGGGTAAAACCCTCAGAATGCCCCTTTGAAAAAGTCTCTAGCAGAAATATGTTACCTTTCAGGACCAAAGGACAATGAGGAATCAACCAGTAAGGTTCATCCTTACTGTTACAAATGTGTGTGTCTGTGTGTGTGTGTGTGTATACATACGTACATACACACATACATATATACGTGTGGGTATATATATATGTATATATACATACATGCTTATATATCTATGCTTCCATACTTGCTAGAGACAGACCACAAATTTGATTCTTAGCCTTCTAGCCACCAAAACACAAACAATTGTAAGATGTCACATAAAAACTAACCAGTTGTTGGGGCACCTGGGTGGCTCAACTGGTTGAGCATTTGCCTTTGGCTCAGGTCATGGTCCTGGGGTTTCTGGATCCCAGGATCGAGCCCCACATCGAGCCCTGCATCAGGCTTCCCGCTTGGCCAGAAGCCTGCTTCTCCCTTTCCCACTCCCCCTGCTTGTGTTTCCTCTCTCGATGTCTGCCAAATAAATAAAATCTTTAAAAACAAAAACTAACCAGTTGTTTAAGAAAACAACTAGTTATACCCCTCAGACTAGAGAGAAAAATTTTTTTTTAAGATTTTATTTATTTGACAGAGAGATATAGGGAGAGAGGGAACACAAGCAGGGAGAGTGGGAGAAGGAGAAGTGGGCTTCGCTCGATCTCCCGAGCCTGGGATCATGACCTGAGCTGAAGGCAGCTGCTTACCAGCTGAGCCACCCAGGCACCCCGAGAGAGAAATTCTTCCCAACAGTCCCCGTAAACAAGCTGTGATATATATTTAAGTACAGATTTTTGTTTCCATTTGTTTCCTTTTGAGCTCATGCTAAAAAATGGAACATGGAAAAAAAGGCTGGGTTAAGGGTAAGACTAATTAGACTATAGACTATAATACTGTACTATAATTATGTGATGTGATAAATATCCTTACGTGGACAATCATATTATATGTATGTATCAAGGTAACATGCTGTACACCTTAAACTTACACAAGTGTTGAGATGTATTTCAAATGAACTTAATAAAAAAGTTAAAAGACTAAGACTGATTAAAACTGCCCCTCGGGTGAAGAAATTAGTACTTGGCTGAATGGGTTACATACCGGTGTATCTCAGCGGAGGAGCTGGTTGCAGAAGGAAAACTAGATTGACCTCACTCTTTCAAAGGGCAAATTAGAGACCCCCTCAGCTCTGGAAACCAGTCATGTAATGTGTATTCCTGATACCCTTTAATCTTATAAATACTGACTGGGAGGTGTTGGTGACATCTTGGCCATTACAATGAAGTTATGAGATCTTTAAAAAAAAAAATTTTAGGGGAGCCTGGGTGGCTCAGTCGTTAAGCCTCTGCCTTTGGCTCAGGTCATGGTCCCGGCATCCTGGAATCGAGCCCCATATGGGGCTCCCTGCTCAGCAGGAGGCCTGCTTCTCCCTCTGCCTGCTGCTCCCCCTGCTTGTGTTACCTCTCTGTCATTAAAAAAAAAAAAAAAATCTTTTTTTTTTTAAAGATTTTATTTATTTATTTGACAGACAGAGATCACAAGTAGGCAGAGAGGCAGGCAGAGAGAGAGAGGAGGAAGCAGACTCCCCGCCAAGCAGAGAGCCTGATGCAGGGCTCTATCCCAGGACCCTGGGATCATGACCTGAGCCGAAGGCAGAGGCTTTAACCCACTGAGCCACCCAGGCAGCTCCCCCCCCAAAAAAAAAAAAAATCTTAAAAAACTTTTTTAGAGAGAGAGAGAGCGAGCATGAGTGGGGGTGGGGTGTTGGTGTGTGGAGATCAGAGGGAGAGAGAGAGAATCTTAAGCAGGCTCCATATCCAGAGCAAAGCCTGATGCAGGGCTTGATCTCCCAGTCCTGAGATCATGACATGAGCTGAAATCAGGAGTCCAGGAACCCCTGAAGTTATGAGATTTAAACAAGGTCTCCACTATATATCCTTAAAAATATCAGTATGTTCACTCATGCCTAGTGGCATGGAGTAAAGACTGAATATTTAAATACTGATGCCTTTTGGACATAATTTATACTGGATGCTTGTGGCTCTGCTGATCATGACCATAAGGACTAGGCTGGCTCCCTATAAGCCCAAAGAATACAGGCCTACTTCTTACCGAATATTTTCTAGGTATCCTTTGGTGAAATCTGAACTACATATATACACACTTGCCAAGAGATTTTATATAAAATGCTAGAGTAAAGGAAACCTGCCCAAATCTCATTAAGATCATGAATATTTGAAAAAGAAGGTCTTATGAACAGTCACAAGCTAGTCCTCTATCTGCAGCATACTTCCTGCCATTTCATTTTAATCCTGTTACTTCCCATTATTCCGCCCTCAGGGATTATAAAGGAGTGAGTTATGTTTCTCTACAGTTGCAAGCTATCAGTCATTTGGAGGTTCTTCTAGAAAGAGACAGGTCATGTACTCTGGACTTGGGTCTTTCATGAGAGTTTGTTAGAATAAGGATTCAGAAGGCAAGAGAAATGGGAACTCAGAGCATTAAGAGAAGGTGCAGAATTCAACCCTCATAAAATAAAGGAATCACACCTACACTAGCATTACAAGCAGGCTATTCAGAAAGTACTTTATATTAGCAATCAGAATAATTTACAGCTTTCTTCCTACACTGCCCTGCATAGGTCTAAGCAGAGGATGTGCTATTTTGCTATTTCTCAACTCCCAAGTATCTGAGTTATGGAAATAGATGGAATGAGCCAATTCTAAAGAAGGAGGAAGACAGATGTTTCCTATGTGGTAGAAGAGAGGAAGGCAGCTGAAACCCAGCCCCCTGGCAATGATTTTGTCATCAGACCTGCCTTTCCTGGCTCATCTGGTGGGCAGGCTTTCCAGTCCCTTCTATGCACAGCTCTATACCCTGCACTCCACAGCTTAAGTTCACCAAGAGGCTTCAATGAGACAAACTCCAAAACCAATATCTCCAAAAGCAGAGATGATTTCAATACACTAAATAAATACACTCCATTTGTCCTATAGTCAACCTTCTCCGGCTTCCCAGGAACTTCAAAAGCAATGTAAATTGTTGTAAGAGACTAAATGTTCTGAACCATTCTCAGTCATCATCAATATATTCCTCTTGCACATTTGAGGCTATCTGAAAGCTATTTAAGGCAATTTCTAAAAAAGTTTGGGACATGCTTCTTCCAAGGGCCAAGACAATCCTTCTCTTGTGCCAAGTGTTATGACTAATTTTGGTTTGCTTTTTAGAAGTTTCAGACTTTTCGCCTTCTAAAATGTTTTAACTTGCAATCATTCATTCATTCATTCATTCATTTGATTAAGCATTCACTCACTTGTGTCAGGCATTACACAAAACAAAACCCTAAACAGGTATAGTTAGTCCCTGTTCTCTTGGGAGCCTCCAGTTCCAACCAGAGTCACAGCATAATCCAAGATGCTGACTCAAGGGTTGGCAACAGAATCACTCCATTCCCGAAAATTCTGAAGCCTTAGGCTAGAAATCAAGAGGAGAGGAAGGTGGAAAACTGTGACCCTTTTTGAGCCAAAGTCTATATTCTATCACAGTACCCTTTGGGTCTGGGATTGGGCTATAACTGAAAAGAGTTCATGACCTTGAAATACACCTTGCCCTGGGGCACCTGGGTGGCTCAGTTGATTAAGCCGCTGACTTGACTTTGGCTCAGGTTGTGATCTCCGGCTCCCTGCTCAGTGGAAAGTCTGCTTCTCTCCCTCTCCCTCTACTTGCTCTGTCTCTCTCTCTCTCTCAAATAAATAAATAAATCTTTAAAAAAAAAAAAAAAAAAAAAAGAAGAAAGAAAGAAAAGAAAAAAGAAATACAACTCGCCCTATTTTGGCCACTCCAGTAATAGGCCTCCAGGGCTTTCCACTGGTTTTAGAAGCCTAGTTACACTTCAGCACAACATAACTGATGACCAAATGCCTCTCTGACTTGAAAGGGAAGAAAAGACACATTAGTTAACAGAGCTGGGGAAGCCAAAGGTGGAAAGCTCTGTACAGTCATACTCAACCCTTCTTCCTCTCCAGCTGACAAGCAAGCGCAGCAGGTGGTCAGAAAGAACACAAGCATAGAGTCAGACAGACATGAGTTTGCATCCCAACCTTCCCTCCCACCTACTGGCTGTTGGTGGGTAAGTTTCTAAATCTCTGAGCTCCGTTTCCTATTCCGTAAAATGGGAATGCTAACACAGAGGTTTTGAGAAGATGACAGATAATGCAAATAAAGCACCTCTTTTCTAATTTATGATAGATCTAATGATGACATTGACTCCCCTGAATTATTTCTGCAGTCCTCTGGAACTCCGAGCTCACAGAAGCTTATTGAAAAAAGAGGAGATCAAGTCCCCTAGTGGCTGGCTCCCTTTCAAGAACAAATCGAATGATGGTGGAAAGCTTGTCTCCCAGGCTGGGACACGAGGTTGATGGGTTCTCAGAGCTCTGACTTCCCAGAGGTGCACAAAGCTGATAAGACCTGAAACATACAACACTTTCCATCTAGCAAATTTCTCTGCAAAGCCCTCAGAGGGGC